GGGGGGGGGGAGAGAGTAACATCAGGGTAATAGTGAGTGTGAAGTACCTTACTCGCACCACTTGTGTGAGCCCAGGGAGGTCAAGCTCCGCGAGCGCCTTCTTCCGTTACATTTACATTATACAACTCCGGGGTTGCCCTCATGCTCACGGCGCCATCGGTGCAGGTGGGACAAACAGCTCTACAGAAACGAATACGAAATGGCGCACCCGGCTAATTAGACAAATTTAAAAGCAGCAGGAAGGACAAAGGGCTATGTCCCGTGTGTCAGGGTGAGGGCACAGCAGTTATGCGGGTTTGCCTACGCTCCATCCGTAAGGCGCCACGGCCCATAGGGTGTCGTAGCCCTAACACTCGGTATGTGCACTTGAAAGACTTGAAAGACACATTATGGTCAGTTTTCACGAAAAATACCATAACTTATTCAAGATAAAATTTCCCTGATTATTATTTTGTTGTTGTAGCTACATAATTGTTTTTCTCCCTCATGTCGCCGGAGCCACAGGCCTTAATTTAATACTAACTACGGAAAAGGTGCATAGTAAAAGGCGAACATACAGCGTATACCTTTTCCGCGAGCGACTCGAGCGTCTTGGGGTAGCCGCGCTCATAGGGCTGGAAGTGCTGCGGCGCGCTCGGCTTGTCGCGCTCCGTGACCACGGGCGGCGGCGGCTGGTACGACCAGGTGGACATGCTGCGCTCGGGCCGCGAGTTGTAGTAGAGCTCGAGGCCGCCGATGCCCTGGCCCTGGAGGCCGAGGCCGTTGTGCGAGCTGCTCAGCCCGTCGTGGATGTCCTGGTGCGAGCCCATCCGCGACGAGAGGCCGAGCCGCGACCGCGAACCGGACATCTCGCGCGAGCCGGGGCCGCGCCGCCGGCTGAGAGAGTCCCTGCAGGGGGGGGCGGAGGGTGAGACATTCAACTTCAACTTCAATGAGGGTTAGGACGTCAGTTAGCCAGAGCATTATGAGCCGCTTTAGCTAGCCAGTGGCCTCACGCAAAAGATGATTAGCTGTAGAGCTAAACCAATAGCAAAATGTGGGATAGTGTAACGATTTAGCTATGTTTAGTTACGTAGCTTCACGCCATAATTTTTATTTAGCTACGTACTTGCCTAATTTTGGCCACATAGTTACATTTTCAAGTTCCAAAGCTAAATAATTGGCTATCCCTTAGCTAGCTAGCACTCACTCGTGGAGGTCGTCGCGCAGCTGCTGGTGCTCCTCGTCGTCGCGGATCTCCTTCTTGATGACGACCACGGGCGGCGGCTTGTGCGGCTGCGACTGCTGCAGCTGCGCGGGCGGCGGCGCGCCCTTGGTCTGGCGCGTGACCAGCACCAGCCGCCGGGGGATGGACATGATGATCACCACGTCGTCCAGCGACATCCGCGTCACGTCCACCAGGTTCACGGCCAGGATCTCGTCGCCCACCTGCGCGAGTCAAGGAGGGCAAGTTTTACACCAAAAGGCCAAAAAGAGGCCTCTATGCGGGGGGTGGCGATGAGCGTGAGGCGTCGCTGTCGCGTACCCTGAGGCAGCCGCTGTTGTACACGGCCGACTCCAGGGCGATCCTGGAGATGAAGACGCCGTCGGAGCGCTCGATGCCGTTCCCTTCCCGGATGTAGAGCCCGAGCGTCTGGCCGGGCCGCTTGACGATCTCGACGAGCTGCACGACGTGCTTGGCGTCCTGGGCACATTTCAGAATGCAGAATAATTAGACACGACACCATAGGGGAGGCGAAACCTTTGGCAACGACATTGAGGGAGGAGATGATCCCCGCGATATCGACCCAAAGGTCGTCGCATTCAAATGTGGATGAAATGGGAAAGATAAGGGATAGGACATGGGACAGCCGTAGGGCGAGGGAGAGGCGGGAACAGACGGCATATTGCATTTTAATTTGGTGCGGTAGCCATAACGGTAGCCAAACAGGAAATGGCCGGCCGTCGCGGACCTTCCTAGGTTGTGTGTATATGCGCCTATGGTTATCGTCGTGCTATCGAAACCGACGCGTGTGAACGGGTAAGGGTGGGCCGCTGCAGCACCGCACCCTGCTCGGCGCCTGTCGCCAGACATGCGTTGCACTCGCTACAGGGCGTCAGTGCAAAGAGAGCATTCCGAGCCGTGCACACCAGGTGGCTGGTTAACCCGGCTCACTTCTGTAGTAGTTACATGCTGTACCGCACGCACGGAGTGCAGGCGGGCTTGCCTATCGCCCCTGCGTCCACGACTCCTTACGGGCCGACCGAGTGCGCAAACCGCTCGCAATCGTGCGTCCGCCCCCATCCGTAAGAGAATATGAGCCGGTATGAGGTAAACCGAGCAGTTAACGAGAGTTGTTTGTGTGCGGTGTAAAATATTGGACTGCAGCAGCC